ATGCACTAGAACATTCTGAGCACACACATACTTCGTTTTGGGCTGGCATGGGGGTGGGGGCAGTTTGTGAGTGTGTGTGTGTCTGTGTGTGTGCGTCTGTGTGTGTGCTGGAAGGTAGACAGAAAGAGAAAGGGACAAGAGGAGATAAGTTACATTTTTACTGAATGTAAAAAAGAAAAATATAATTGCATCTTCTGTTTTTCATCCTGTTAACTAGACTGAGAATTAACTTCAATGTAATTACTCTTAATTGACCTCTTTGCAACAGAAATAGACAGCATGATAATGGATTATAAGAGGTTTATTAAACTTCTATAATGGCAACATGTAAGACTTTAAATGTGGAGAATTTAATGCAATGAATCCTTTATTGTCGGGTCATGTCTGTCAGCTTCTCTGTCTCCCTTTCTTCCCTCTCATCTCCTGTGTCTGCCACTTTTTCCCTCCCATCACATCATTCTCCTCTTTGTCATTCACACTTTGAACTGCAGTTACACACACGCTCTCTCTCCACAAGAGGTCTGCTGGCCTGTCCAGCATTAACAAAAGGCCAGCAGAGGCTCTGTCCATGACAATGGCCCTCAGGTCAGCCTGCGTGCCACACATTGCATTATGGCCCAGGAGAAAACTACACTGCTTTACGTTAGAAATTCTACAAAAAGCTTTGCTATTTACTGGCTGGCATGCTGCCTACTCATAACATTTGAAAGATCAAGCCTCCATCCGTCAAATTATTTTTATCTGAAAATGTGCCTTTTTTCTTTTCTTCTTCTGTACAAACCAAAGTTGTTCCATTCTGAAAATCGCACAAGGCAGTTACAAGAAGTTATAATTGTGTTTGGACTGATGGCATTTTCCTTTTGTTGAATGATAAACTAGAGATCAGAACACGTACAGCAATTCAAACTTCAGGAAATTAGAGTGGAAAAAACAACAGCAACTCAACACGTGTAAATTATAACGCTTCAAATGGTATAATCGTTTTTCACAGGTTTCACAGCCTCCATAGTCTCTACGACACACTTTGAAGCAGAGCAGTATTCAGTTGGTTGCAATCTGCATTCTCGCCATTAGATGCCACTAAATCCTACATGCTTGACCATTAAACAAGTAAACAAATCAGACATGCTGCTCTGTGAGGACATACAGCAGGGCTAAATGCTAACATGCTCACAATGACAATGCTAATATGCTGATGTCTAGTATCTTTGTTTAGTGTGTTAGCATGCAGACATTTGTTGATAAGCAACAAACATGAAGTATAGATGAGACAGACAAGAATGTCATAAGTTTTTGTAGCTATCCATTCAATATTTGTCAAGACATTTTACTAAAAGCAAAAAACATCTGTACCCATTTTCTTTGCAAGGCTGGAGTTTGGTCTCCAGGCTCTCTGAGTGATTTTATCTGCTCTGCATTTAAAATAATTCCCTGTTCTGAGATAAACTTAGCAGGTTGGAGACACACATTTTTGTTTTCCAAAGAAAAAAGTGAATGTGAATAGTTGAGACACATTTTACAGCCAGCTATGAGGTAAAAGCAGCCAATTTCTCTGGAAACCTGGAATCAAGACAGATACTCAATGATTTACAGACTCTTCCCAAATTCTTCTCAAATGAACAACAAACTCGAAGTGGTGGTGTGTGTTTTCTAAGACACAAGCTTGTTAACTGTGGACCCTGATGCAGAATTGCTTGGTAAAGGAAGTGAATGAGTGTCTGTGATCAGAGCCCCAGCTGCTTCCTGCAGTTTCATCAAAACCTGTGAGCGCGTCCTTTCACCAATTGTGCTTGATCATTTTTTGGGTCAGGTGGTTCCGCTCATGCAAGTAAAGCGAGACACCTGCGCCATGTGTGACAGGCTGTTAGAAGGACTGACCAACAGAGGCAGCAATGATTTGCATTGACTGAGTGAATAAGACATAGATATTTAGCATGTTCATGGCATCAGTTGTGCTCAGTATGTGTGCTAAAGTGCTGAAGCGCCTATGGTGCATGCAGGCTGCTGGCAGACAGACAGATAAAAGAGTGGTATCAACCTTCTTGTCTAACTTACACCAAGAAAGCAAATAAGCTTATTACCAAAGTAGTGAACTATTCGTTTAATAAAAGGTTTTCTTGATGATAGCAAAAAGGAGTCTTTTCCAACAATTTCTTTGGCATGGATGGACCATTTGTAGGTATTTGTAACAAATGAAACCAAAAGTGAGCATGTTGTTCCACTGAAATGAGCAAATGTTGGTGTGACTGGCCTTTGAATGTAGACGACTGAGCCAAAAGGACATTCTTCTTTTACATCCTCTTTCCTTCCCTCCCCCTACATCTACCCCCACACCTCCACAGATACATGCACTCTACTCAATGAACAACACAAGGCTGCCAGGGCTGTCTTTGACACTTTCATGGACTGATGTTAGCACGTTGTGGGGTGCAGAGTTTTTATATGGGACTCTGTGTGTGTGTGAGTGAATGTGACACTGTGCGTTTGTTTCTCAGCCTAGTGTCACCTTTCTCTGCACAGTAAAATATGTACGCCGGCAATGAATGACAAAAAGACCAGCCAATCACTGTAGCTTGTGACCACTGATCTGCATGAGTTTCTGTGTTAATAGAGGAGCAAGGCCACCATTTGGTCAGTGATATGAATATAAATGAGAGTGAATTTAAATAAAGGGGTGCATTTGAATATGTTATACTGTCACCCAGCACATTTATCAAGACCATCTGCATATTCAAGGCCTGGTGATGGATTAAAGAGACAGAAATGGAAAGATCTCCTGGACATAACGAAATGGTACCAGTCTTTATTGATGAATAACCTGTATTTCTCTCTCTCTCT